AATGTAACAAAATCAAAGAACATGTCTTTAAAAAGACCCATAATAATGTTCAGGTTTACATACACACAAGCCATGAGTGTCAGTATGATAATTAAACTAATGATATTTAACGTGTATAATAGACATATCATAGCATTTTGTGATTCAGAATAGAACATAATTTAAAGTGAGGACATTAAACTGTAAAACATCATATAAGATGTGAAAAAATGCAAATGTAATGCTAATTTTTAATTTTAAGATCCATATCTACATGTATTTCTTTTTTGGCTTAAATACAGATCACTTTGTACATCTCTGTATTATAATTCGGTCTTGTTTCCTTTACTTCCAAGTTTCAGCATGTAAAGCGAATTTTATCCAGCAGGGCTTTACTTCTACAAAACTGGCTGATCATGAGTTGAAAAATTCAAGCTGAACATTCACTAATCAGATAGAAAAAGATTCCTGATTTTATCACATACAGGCTTCAAATCACCAAAAAATAAGGCACAAGTGAGATTGTTAAACCCACTGTTAAGGTTCAAAGTTCACTTGTATGTCCTTAGGGTCGTTGACCTTTGACAGAGCTGTTGTCAGGACTCCCACTGTGGCCTTCTTGCCATTCTGTTGTTTCCATTTTGTAAACATGTGATGTGCCACGCCCCTTATCCCCTCCTCCCGGAAGTACTGGATATAGATTTGTTCCAGGTCAGTGTCACTCACGTTCAGGGTTCGACCTGTGAATAACAATACAGACTTAATCAACAAGCTTTAATACAGACTCAAATTTCTTATGTTGATATAAACTTCATTTACTAGAACTTCATTTTACAGGTCTATGTATTAATGAGACAAACAAAGTGCCATTTACAATATATGTGTAACATCTCACTAGATTTCTGCAGACAACTTATTTATCTTACCTACTCTGCGCCATGATTTACCAATCATTGTGGTAGCTCTTCTAATGTCCAAGTCATTGGCGAGTCTTGTGGAACCTAGGAATATACATCAAAGATCATACAGGGCATTTCAAATCGTCAAAAATATGGCATCTGGAGAAAAAAAAATCACTGTTTTGATATAACCAAATAACAGAGCTGTAATTGGGTGGGCACATATGACCTCTCTTCATTTTCAAATCTTGTGAAAACAATGAAAATGTATTTAACCTGCCTTAATCACTTTATTTGTCTGTGATATATATTGAAATAATTACTGAGTATCTGTTGACAGATGTCGGTGATTGGTTTAGCTGCCTCTCGTGGTGGATCCTCCTCCTCCCAGTCTGACGAATCAGAACTCGAGTCATTCCGTCGTCTCCCTCGAGAACGTCCCGATGTCTGGTTTACCACCATCACATTGTTGCTTCCAACTTGGACATTTTTAGAATTGTGTATATGTATTGAAGTCTTTTTTCCAATATAACCTTTTTCAATTTTGATTGAGCCATCCTTGTTTATCTTTGTCCTTGCACCTAATCAAAGGAATTCAATGTTACATGAAATATAACATAAAATACAACCCCCCTTTTTGGTGGGGGAGGGGGGAATACAAAAAATAAAGACATCGTATTTGTTATAAACGGTGATTCAGGTATACAATATAGATACAACTGTTCATTATGGAAATATGGAAAATTTCACCATCACTGTAAAATCTTTTATCACTTGAATTTAGAGGATTGTGTCTACATACTGTGAACATCAAAAGAAAAAAACAGACATTTTACCTTCATTATGTTCATATTATGATGAACAATATATATTATTACCTAATCAAGTGAATTTTGTTATTTTATTAGAGATTTAATATTTTCATCTATTCTGTATGTGTTTTCAGTTTTTCTTATCTTTTCAAACCGATCTATTGACCGGTGAATAGACAGCGCGTTCTATTGACCGGTCAATAGACCACGCGTTCTATTGACCGGTAACGCAATTCGGAAAAAAAACAATCCGGGTTTCGAATTTAGTTGTTTGTAACAATGCACAGACATGGTAAACAATCATCTCCCTATTTGATCTTTCGACATTGGTTTTAAAAATCGTATGATTTCAATGGTTGGGTATTTTATTTAATGAGAGTTACTTTAATGAATACACTGTGGGACGTTGAGACCGATCCTTCGGTGAGACCTATAAACCGAGGTCCCGTGTAGCAGTATAGGTGCTCTGCTGGCACGAAAAAGGTCCCTATCCACCGGGAAATGGTGGCATCTCTATAAGAGTGAAAAAATATTCGAGAGGAATGTAAACAAAATCTATACAATCAATCTTTAATTAATATTACAGATGCACCATATCTAGGTATAAATTTACAATATGGTACGGGATCCTTTTGTACTGAATATACAATTGTGAACTTTTAATACGGAAAATAAATTAGGTAATAAAACAATTATTTAATGCCTGAGCAGTCAATAGACCAGAAAATTTTCCCCTCGGTGCAGGGAACAGCTCAGTGTGTTCTATTGCCCTCGGCCGCTGGCCTCGGGCAATAGAACACACTGAGCTGTTCCCTGCACCTCGGGAAAAATATTCTGGTCTATTGACTGCTCAGGCATTAAATAATTGTATATTATATATATAGACAAGCATATAGCTTTGTACACATAAGACTCCATATTACGAATATGGAGCGGTATTTACTACATGTAGTAAGATTTTTCATTGTGTACTTTATACTTATGTAAACATGTATTAAACGTTTCCAAATTAACAATTAACTTTATCATATTGATAACTTGTGAGAAATGTTTTCAATCTTTGTTATGACTGTCTGTCACTGAACTCCATGAAATGTATTTATATCACTGTAACATTATACAGTTGTTGACAGGAGTCTCGGGAAACAGTCGATCTGTTGGACCGGAGTGCAAACTGTTGCCCAAGGCCTACAGTGGAGTGTAATAATTGTAACTACAGTGGAGTGTAATAATTGTAACTACAGTGGAGTGTAATAATTGTAACTACAGTGGAGTGTAATAACTGTAACTATACATACCCTCTGCCTCCTCGCTCTCTGAAGTAAACTCCATGCCAGGACTGGCCCCGAATCCCCTGTCATTCATTCCTCCAGTCACCACCTTCACGTGTTTCATAGCCTTCTCCACCTGGTACAAAAGGAAGGGAAACTGACATTTACATACAGGTATCCAACCACAAAATAACATGTTCTTTAAACACATGATTACAAAATAAAAGTACATATACCTGTCTTTATACACATATATAAACACATGATGAATACATTAAATAGTACATATATACCTGTATACAATAAAACCTGTTATAAGCAATTCAATGGGACCTATGAAATTACTTTGCTATATTCGTAATTTGTTATATTCGTATAAGGAATTGGTTAAATTTATATAGCTGGAGATTCAAGAAATTTCGCTATATCCATGAATTCGCAATATCTCTGTTCATACAAAACGAGTTTTACTGTAGGTCTTTACACATATATAAACACATGATGAATATATTCTCAATACATTAAATAGTACACTTACTAGTGTTGTTACGATAGTCGCCGACTATCGAAAAATCGTCGTTTAAAGGCCCAGATCGGCGACAATCGATTGTAAATATTATCATCGATAGATCGCTATATTTTGCAAGCCGTATTTTTCAAGCTGATGAGGTTTAACTTTTATATTATACCTAAGGGATGTCACTCTAATCGGCGGTAAACAAAATGGCGAGCGTGCATGGTGAAGAGGTTGACGCCGAATTATATCCATATCCTGGTGCAACACGATCTAAAGTTTGGATTTTTTGGCTTTCGGAAAAAGGGCGATGGGCCTCCATGCAAAAATAATTTACAGATGGACTCGGTTATTTGTAAATTGTGTAAAAAGTCGTATGCCAATAAAGATAAATTGAAGTTCGCGGTCACATGTCATGGAATTCTACTCGTGCTGAATGAATAAATTTAACCTATTTTAATAGTTTAAATTATCGATTATATAATCGATTGTGTTCTTCCGATTCAATTTGATAATCGATAGTAAAATTTGTCCAATTTTACAACACTAACACTTACCTGTCTCATGGCTTCGGCCACAGTTCTCTCAGCATCTACTGGCCTGTGTTTGTTTCTTTTAGACATACTCCAATATATTTCTCAGCATAACATTTCCATCCACTATATGCCTTACAAGACAAAGCCTATCACAGTTATTTAACAGCTTCCTGTTTTAAAAGAGAGTTATCATATTGAGAACAGAAATCTGTATTTCCTTACAACAATATTCAGATATAATCTCATTCTCTTCAAAGCATTATAGATAAATATAAAATTTTAAGAGTAAATAAAATTTTAAAAAATAATAAAAAAAAATAGTGAATTTAACCATTTCCTTTAATTATTAAAACAAGTATTCATCATGTCTAAAAGAGGGTGGAAAATTCAAATGATATTTAGCTCTTAAAAGTAAAAATAACACAAGAGTAACTGAAACCAGACACTCTGTTCACAAAAAATGATAGTGGGGTTCATTATGGGGAACTACGGTTAATTTTTCAATGCAGCCATAGTATGGAAGAAGTTCAGGCTTAATTCTTATCATACTTTCACTTCTCAAGGTTCAGGAAAACGTCTCTGAACATGGTATTTTTATTAACACCCCCCCCCCCCCCAACACACACACACAGGTTAACGACAGCTTACCAAACAATCTATCTGAAGTTAATTTCTTGGGTGACCGCGTTAGAAACTTTTTGTTCCCGATATTCACATTATATATTTTTCGATGTCTGAATACAGTGATGTTTCGACAGGAATTTCCAACTTCCAGTCAGTGTTAGGAAGAGCCTAACCAATAAAATCCAAACGCGCAGACTTCTTAATTCCGGATATATATTCAAAAAAATAAAAGAAAAACTTTGCAAGTATATTATTTTGAGTACAGAGTAATTTGAAAATAATATTGTTTCGTCTACTGAAAAGTACAGAGATTATTTTCTCTATGAATGAATCAAAAAGTTGTCTTTTGTTTTAAAAAAAAGTTAGTGTTTGGTTTTGTGTGCTATGTTGATAATGTAAACAAAAATGGCCGACAGGTATGTCAGCAACGAGATGATGTTTTTATTTTAATTTTACCTGTTTGTATCGAGTGGTTTAGTTCGAAGTGTAATGAGAAATCTTTTTTGTTAATTTAGGGGTGGGGTATCCTTGATTTTCGTCAAAATCCCATTTATGGTCAAGTTTTATTCTCTAAAGAGAATAGGTCAAGTTTATGTGCTTTGGATAAAAGGTTCTCTCGATCTCTCTTGTTTTTGTTTATCAGCTGCAGAAATAGTTGAATTCGTCAATCAAAAACCATGAGAGGGTTGTATATGATTTTAACTATATTGTTGAAATTTAACTATATAATGATATAAAATATTCTACATTATCATAATGATCTGAAATTGAACTAGAGGTACTGTTAGCAATGAGCTCAGTAAATGATGCCCCCGCCTCCCATATCAATATAATGGCGTCCATGTTTTGCTGTGAGAAACCCAAAATATGTGTCGGATCAAAATGTAAAATAGGAGGTGCACAATGGCAATATGTAATAAGTTTCTGTGAAAGTTTCATCAAATTTCATTCAGTGGTATGAGAGGAGTTGCGGATAAGAGATGAGTATCCCAAAGCGTAACAGATGGACAGACAGACGGATGGACGGACATACAGACGAACATACCGATTACTATATACCCTCCCGCTTTTGAAGCAGGGGGTAAAATAAAAGAGAAAGATCTGTACAGAGTCAGTACCATATTATTTTTTATATTTTTTTATCTTTTACTATATCGCACTCAAATATATTATATTTGAGTGCGATATAGTAAAAGATAAAAAAATATAAAGAATTACCCGGTAGGTCAAATATTGTCAAAAACATTCCTTCTTTAATTTGTTTATAAACAGTTTATATCTAGAAGTGAGATATGAACGAGAGCATGTGATCAATTAATGTATGAGGTAATTGAGGATCTGTTTAATCTCAGTGAAATTCGTTGAGACTTAATATTTTGGACTGATATCTCTTCGAACATGTCAAAGAGACATCAGTCTAAAATTACTCTCAACAAATCTGACTGAGATTAGGATCTTATCAATCTCTTCAGTATAAATGTGACTAGTGTCATTCATCGTGAAAGTTGAATATCTTCTATTTTAGGGAATCCTTGCAAACGGAGAGTACACAGAGCCAGGACACTGAGCAGACAGGAGACACTAACCAATCCCATGGGGTCTCCGCGGTGCCGCTCACGGTTGTGTCTGCCTACAAACACTTACGGGAGTCAGGGGAAGGCCCACACAATGTTCCACAGGTTTTATCAAACAACAGCATTAAGAAAAAAATTTACATTAATTATTCTTGAGTCATAAAGTCATAAGAATGACTGCACTTAAGCTATGAGAGTTGGAACCTTTTCGACTACCCATTTTAAGCTTAACAGTACAATATATCGCTAAATTAATCTATGATTAATGTGCAAGCATATGCTCTTTATATTTAATATTTCTAGAATTTTTTGTCATACATATTTCTATAGTTACAGAAAATGTAATTGAAAAGAACATGTAAAAGCCTTAAATTCCGGAAATTTGAACAGGACCACTTTCGAATCTAAGGTATCCGCAAATAGGCGGAGTCATTTAAACCGCATGCAGAGCTATTTTGGCGTAAGGCGTACGAAATTAGCGTTTAAAGTACGCCTTACGATTTCTCTCTATATTCTTCCGATTTCAGGTTTTTCTCGTTCAAAGTTTATAATATCGGTATTTTCATAGCTGGCAGTCTATAGTTTCTACTATTATAATATATTCAGAATTCTCACAATGCTTGCTTGTATCATCGTTTCGGTTTTAGTAGGCCAATCACATTCATGCCAATGTTTTAGAGTAAACAAGATGGAAACATGCCTCAGATTGCATGTCCATTTACACAAAAATCTTCAGCGACAGGGGGTCAAGGGGGTTCCTAGACCCCGCCTTACTATTTGTCATTTCAGAATGTTGGCAGCTCTGCGCATGGTTGTGGAATGTAAACATTAGCACATATGATTTTTTCGCACCACGAATTTAAATGGAGAAGAGAGAGATCTTGTTGATTTTATGGTGCACAATTATTAAATGATTCTAATGTTAAGGGATGGGGTAGATGTCTCGCTCTACAGACCATAATACAGAGGCGACATAAGCCTATACATGTACTTACTATTGACACTGTCAATACCCGAATTCTTTCAAAACACCCCTAATGTAAAGCATAAAGTTATATAAGAGACATATTATCTTCAAACCCTATTAATATTTGCGCAAAAATATCCCATAGTTTGAAGTTGGAAGTATGATAGATACTGTCACAACAGAGACTTAAACACAATGAAATGTTCAATGAAAGCGTTAGCGTATCGAACAGCAGAATGTCACGTGATTAAGGTGATTATAATATCAATCGTTGATGCACGGTGACCGGTTAATTTAGTAGCTATCTCGACCCTAGTTTGGGGACATTTTTTTAAAAATTAGATATGAGCCGCAACTTGGCCAACATTGTCCTTTGGATATGTATAAGTTTAAGTTAAAATACACATTCTTTGCATATAAGAAAAATGGCCAAGTTGCGGCTCGATGTAAACAAAGTCATTGAAAACTGGTATGCATATGAATAACAATAGAAATGAGACAAATCTATTATACCCCCGTCTCAAAAGCTAGTGTCGCTCGGCATTGTTTAATACTTTCATGTTATATAATATACCAAAACCTGCTCTTAAGATATTGTTTAATACCTATAAAACATAAATTGAATGAATTTTGGAATTTTATTTTGCGCAAAACACCGGGGTCCAACTCTCATAGCTTAAGTGCAGTCATTCTTTAAAGGCAAGACCAGACTAAATGTGCATAATTGTTGTCACAGTAATAACTTAATTGTATGCAGAATCAGCTTTCATTGACTACGAATACCAGTAAATAAAATATTAATAAATCATTATCTGTTTTATTAGCTTCCTTCCCACAGATTCCAGTACTCTGTGTGGCATGACCTGAGGGAGGCTGTTCTTACAGGGACAATGCTGAAAGCCCCCAGGGTCAGAGAAGGTAATCAACTGTAACAATTACCAACACTTGATGTGTAAGACCAAATGTGTCAACCATTGAATAGGCATTACAGACTTGGGAGCAGGTTTTGCATTAATCCTCAAAATGACAGGGATCCTGGGTCCAAAAAGCTGGGTGATTCAGACAACAGTGAGACACTGGAGGGGGGGGGGGCTGTTTCTTACACATTTTCTTTTAACAATTGTTTTTATGCAACTTTCAAGATTTTATTAACTTCCTTGAATCAAAGTAAGAGTTTTTTAATTGATGTGTTAACTTTCTAATAGAAATTTTAAGAATTCTGATTTATAAAAGTTTTATTTTTCACTAAGGTCCCCCAGAGAAAGATAAAGCATTCTATAAAATGAAAGATGAGGAAGACAAAGTAATTCACCATACTCACACAGGATCGACGAGGGATGCTTACAGAAATACAATGGAAAACTGGGAGAATGCTACGGTACATTTCCACTGTTACAAAGAAATATATTCTTCATAGTATTAATCAAGGAGGGGGAGGTAAAAATTTTTAAAAATCTGCTGACTTTGATTAAGATTGGCAGATAAGTTTTAAATGTGTTTGTATAAAAATACTAATTTTCATTTTCTCCCCCCCCCCCCCATTTTTTTTTCAAATTTAGTGTGATAATATAAGAATACTTGCACAATATGAATTCTTATATTTTTTATGAACATATCAAAGAATTCATGTTTAGTTCTTATAAGTGCACCAAATTTTAACGATTGATGTAATTATATATACACTAACAATGTTTATGTAATTAAATGTTTTTATTTCTCCTCAGACTGTCAGCCTGTGTTAAATGTTTTTATTTCTCCTCAGACTGTCAGCCTGTGTTAAATGTTTTTATTTCTCCTCAGACTGTCAGCCTATGTTAAATGTTTTTATTTCTCCTCAGACTGTCAGCCTATGTTAAATGTTTTTATTTCTCCCCAGACTGTCAGCCTATGTTACCAGGAGTTACACGACTCGTACCAGAGATCCACATTTAATGCCGTCCTGGGGAGACTACAGATCGTCGAACGTCTGTATCTAACTGACAACACCATACAGAGTCTTAAAAGGAAGTCCTTCCCTAAGTTAGTTCTCTCTCCATCAAGAACTCAGTTTTGATACATTTTTGTTAATTTTTATTGACAGGACATGTATTGTCAATCAAAATTTTCACTGTTCTTCAGATCTAGAAAAATACATGTAGTATATTGAGTTGTGCAAAAATTTATACTACTTAATGCTTTTTACATTTCAGATGTGAAGTGTTGAACCTGAATCATAATTTCATATACTCCTTCTCGGTAATTGCTTATCTTTTTCCCACTTGAGTCTCCCCACTAATTTTTATAATTTTTTTTAATGCATGATTATCAAACTTTTTAGACTTCCGAATTACCAAATAGATTTATTCATTAATTTTTTTTTTGGTTGAATTATTCAATTCAAGTACATTAAAGAAATAAACATTTAAATG